TTTTAGTATCAGGGTAATACTGGTCTCATAGAATGATTTGGGGAGTGTTCCTTCATCTTCTATTTTTTGGAAGAATTTGTGAGGGATTAATATTACTTCTTTAAAGGTTTGGTAGAATTCCCAGGGACGCTATCTAGGCCTTGGCTTTTCTTTGTGGAAAATTTCCTAATTACTAATTCTTTACTTATATTAAGTTGTACAAAAAAGTTAATATAGCAGGCCTGAGACTCTTATCCTTAGATAGTCCTACTTGCAAGATCGACCCTTGGATGGCATCTGGGACTTTAGATTTTTGGAGTGTTTCCACCATTCCCTAAATAATAAGAGTAGCACACCAAAGTGTGCAAAAATATATGGTTTATGCTAACCATCTGCTTTTCTTTTAGGAGTCTAGAATTTTCATATGTGCTAGGTACAGGGTGCCTATGTGACCAGTCCCCAATAAAAATGTTGGGCACTAAATCTCTAACAACTTTCCTGGTGGACAACATTTTACACATGTTGTCACAGTTCAGTGCTGGAGGAAATAAGCACATCCTATGTGACTTCATAGGTAGAAGACTCTTGGAGGCTTGTACCTGGCTTTCTCTGGACTTCACCCCATGAGCCTTTTCCCTTTGCTGATTTTGCTTTTATCCTTTTGCTATAACAAATTATGTCCATGAGTGTGACTAGATGCTAAATCCTGTGAGTTCTCTAAGTGAAGTGCTTAACCTGGGAGTGGTCTTGGGGACCCATGACACAGATTTATTCAGGTTTTCTATTTCATCTTGAGCCAGTCTCAGTAGTTTGTGTCTTTCTAAGAAGTTATCTATTTTGGGGGCATACAATTGTTTGTAATATTTCCTTATAATCCTTCCCATTTCTGTAAGGTCAGTAGTGATGCCCTCCTTTAATTTTTTATTTTAGTAACTTGTATGTTTTCCCTTTTTCCCTTCATTGGTCTACTAGATGTTTGTCAACTTTGTTAATCTTTTCAAAGAACAAACTTTTGTTTCCATTGATTTTCATTATTATTTTTCTATTCTCTATTTTGTTTCTTTATACTCTAGTATTTTTTTTATTTCTTCCTTTTGCTTGCTTTAGTTCGGTCTCCTTTTTCTAGCTTTTTAAGGAGGAAGATTAGGTTATTGATTTAAATTTCCCTCTGAGCACTGTGTTAGCTGTGTGTTAGCTGTGTTTCATAAGTTTTGGTGTGTTGTGTTTTTATCTTCACTCATCTCAAATTATTTTCTAATTTCCCTGGTGATTTCTTCTTTGAACCATTGACTAGGAATATGTTGTTTAATTTTCACATATTCATAAATTTCCCAAATTTTCTTTTTGTTATTGATTTCTAATTGCATTCCACTCTGGTCAGGGAAGATACTTTGGATGATTTTAATCTCTTTAAATTAATTGTAAATTATTAAATTTTTAATTAAATTATTAAATTAAATTGTAAAAATTAATTTTAAATTTATTGTACCTTGAGTTATGGCCTATCATATGGTCTATCATAGAGAATGTTTCATGTTCACCTGAGAAGAATGCATAATCTGATGTTTGGGGGGGTTGCAATGTCTTTTACTATCTTCCCCAGTTTCCTTTTTGGAAGCCAGTGTAAGAATAGCAGAGTAGTGGATATTGTAGCTTCATTTTCTTCCCCTCCTATTTCTACCTTCTGGTGTGAAAAAATAAGCAAGTAATCTCAAATTAACCTAATTTCCTCCCAATGCCCTTCCAGATTCCAGAAAAAGCCAGGTATGCATGGCTTTTCCATAGCTAGCTGTGATTTCTCTTCCTGGATGCATAAGGACAAAGAAATATGTTTCTACCCACAAGCAAAGCAAAATGAGTGCTCTTGCTCTTTCCTATCCTCAGTGACTGCCTCAGAAACACTCCTACTCCAGAACTGATCTGTGTTTCTTTAATCAATGAATTTTGTCCCAGACCATCATACAGATGGCAGACTAAGGGACCTCTGTTTGGTGAGATTAGAGCTTTTACTTGCTATAATAAATACTCACTGGCCTTTTTGGCAAGGCCTGTGCCAATGTCATTAAAATTGTCCCTTCTACTCCTGTTTTCCCAGATACCACAAGTGAGTAACCACATTCTGTTCTTTCCCTTTGGTATCTATAAAGGATCCATTTGGCTGCAACTAGCAGAAAACCAATCTAACTCTAACTTGAGTAATTAAGAGTTTATTTTCCTCATTAACGAGTGTGGGGGACAGACAGTTATGAGCTGATGCAATTGATCAATGATACCATCAAAGACCCAAGCTCTTTCCATTTTTCCACTGCAGCAACCATAGCAGATATACTTCATCCTATTCCTATTGTCTCATGGCCACAAGATGGCTGTTGCAACTTACGATTAAGTCCTGTCCTAGGGAGAAAGAAAGGGTAGGTGCAAAGGCAAAAAGCTTGTCAGCATATTACAAAGCTTTTCCAGAATATTACCCAGCAACTTCTGCTTATGTCTCACTATTTAAATCTAGGTCACAAATCGCCCCTAGACCAAAGGCTGAAAAGTGGGTAGAGATAAAGAAAAGGGAAAGAAGGAAGGGAGAGGTAGCCAATAAACCAATAGTGGCTGCCATACCTTCCTTTATAACTTTAGTAAAGAAGTTAAGCAAGGTTGGGGATGGGGGAAGTGACTTTATAGTCAGGCTGAGCTTGGAGTGTGGCACACCATTCAACTCTGCCCCTGTCACACAGAATCAGCCCCCACCTCCTAAAAATCTAAGCTCCCTGACCCCTTCTATAGCAAAGACCCTAACCACAACATATGTAGACAACTTTTCACCTGCCTTCTGGCAAATTCAGCATCTAATTCATGCTCCTTTCTTTAGAATTAGCAAAAACATATTCTAAGTACTCAGCAGTCATCTATAGTTGTTAAACATCGTTCAACTTGAGGGCCCCAAAGGCTGGTCTAGAACATCCTAGAAGACATCCCATCCCCATGCTACTGCTTTTCTCAGCCTCAGATACCTACTCTGGCAGTTAACCATTTCCATCAGAGCTACCACTGCCTGTAACAATAGGTCAATCCATGACTTGGGTAACATGTTCAAGCTTGGATTTCAAGTCTCTGAAGAGGTTAGAAATTCAGAGTCCAAAACAGGGGCCTTAAAGTTCAACTTCCTACCTCTCACTTTCTCAGAATACTCCTGGAAATTGCAGATAAATTAATATATTTATCAAACTCTAATAAGGATGCATTTGTCTCTCTTCCTTCCAGAACTTTCTGCCAACCTCTCTGTAAATCAGCCCAAAAATTATAAAGCATTTTGTAAAATCCTTTTGTCTCAAACTCTTCCTAGTCCTCTGATAGTCCCCACATAAGGAGTTGCTTTGGAGAGACCTCATTCATTTCTGCATACCAATTCTCTAACAGACTCTTAGCTATAGTCTCAAAATCAGTTGACTGAAATCCTTGGGGCCATGATTTTTTTGTGTGCAACATTCAAAGATTCCTAGTAATCCCATGACGTAGCAGGTGTGAATTTTTTCCATAACACTGAGGTGCAAGAAATGTCACATTACTATTGTGCCCTCAGTGGCAAGATATTCCATTCTCCATGGAGTCTTGTAAGGGTGACCAACCACCCCAGGTTTCCCAGAGGAAGGGGTTTTCTGAGACACAGGACTTTCAGTACTAAAAATGGGCAAACCAGGACAGTTGGCCTCCTAAATCTGGACAAAGTTTGCAGTCCTTCCTTGTACTATAGTATAAGCTCTAAGAGGCCAATGAACATGTCTAATGAATTTCTATATACCCATGCCTAGTGCTCAGACATAATAGGCACTCAATAAATTCTCAATAAACAAGTTCACAAACAAATGCATGAACCAGTATAAAAATAGAATATAATAGTAATAATAATAACAATAATAATAATTTAAAGTGTCCAGAAACTTCTCCCACCACCACCTGTTGGGGTATAACGCTAGTGTAACAGTAAGTTTTCCTGCTTCACTGTGTCACTTTCTACTTTTCTTCCAGAAGATACCGATATTCCTCTATTCCCTTAACATCTTTTTTCCTCCCTTTTGCCTTTTATACTATTTCTTCCAACTTTTTGTATAAGTTGGAGTGGGTAGAGTGAGTGTGCTGTCTACCATCTTATGTAGTAGGGAGACTATTATGCCTGTACCTACTGTAACTGATGAGCACCTCAAGCAAGAGAACAGTATACAGATTGTAACAGTTCTGACTTCATATTTCCTGGAGTTCGGTATTTTCCTTGAAAAACTACCATAGAAAATTGCCTCATTTCCATGCCTGGTTTCAAAGGGTGCACCTAGAAAATCTGCTCATATGTCAGACAAAGAGTTGTCTCCTCCTTGTCCATGTGCTAACCTCCAATCTCCTTGACACATGGCAAAGTGTCACCTCTCTGTGCTGCAGTACCCTTCATTTACAGTCACCTCCCCAAAATTCTGACCTTTCTTTTTTATTTTTTGTCCTGTGACCAGCTGAGTTGATCTTAAAAGCCTTGTCCCCCACCCCCACCTTGTTGTACCAAAGTTTCCTTTCCCTGTTCTCCCCTCCCTCTCTTGCTGTGCAGGCAACTTTGTCCACTTGCTTCTTCACCCCTCTCTGGGCATTCCAGAGGTTCCCCTATCAGCCCACTCTACCCCAGGCGTGCAACACAACCAGACTTTATCACCCTCAAAATAAGACCTGAATTTTCACAACCGCCCACACAAGTCTTTGTTTCAAGACTGTTTTTAAGAACTATAATTCTTAAAACTCTACATTTACTTTGGGTAATACATTAGCCCCCTCTGAGGTGAACACCTTCAGGTTAAAGGGCATCTCTTAACTTGTCTCTGTACTGTCAACACTTGTGTGTACATCCCCGAGTGGGGAGGAAGAGGAATATCTAGGGGCACTGGTGATTCAGGCAGAAAGTCCCTCCCTCGGGGAAACCTTGGTTGGGATTGATCTTCAAAACTTTCCAAAGACTGAAGATGACTCAGAGTGTATGTATGTCCTTGTTTCAGAAAAGAGAATGGCTGCTGTTGGCCAAAGGGGAGCCCCTGAGCCGAGGACAGCGCCTGAGAGAGGCTGCCACCACCTTCTATGTGATCATCCCATCACACTCCCTCACTCTGCTGGTGAAGGCAGTGGCCACGCGGGAACTGATGCTGCCCAACGCCTTCCCCCTGCTGCCTGAGAACCCGCCTGATGACAGTCTTAAGATCGTGGAGGCAAGTGGAGCCCAGATCTCATGAGACAGAGAGAAGGGAGAGAAGAGAAGGGAATTCAAGAAAGGGATGAGGGAGAGGAATGAGCCTGTGAGAGGAAGGACGGGGAGCTGAGGGAGAAGTGGCCCTAAGGGTGTGGTGAGAGGGTCAGGGAAGAAACAAGGGTGGGAACCGAGGCCGGGCAGGAGGAAGTAAGCGCTAATGGAGTGTTCCCACAGGTCTCTCTCTGCATTATGGGTGTGCATGTGTGTATACCTGTGTCTGTGTGCATCTATTCCAGTCTCTCGAGGGAAAGAGAAAAGGCCAGACAATGTAGGTGCCCAGAATAGGAAGGGCTTCAAAATCAGACTCCAGTGCAAAGGAGGAAACAGCTCTACAGGCCGTTTTCTCCTCCTTTCCCTTGGACCTGGATCCTGGATTACCTCCGCCAGCCTCCCCAGTCCAAGGGCAGGAGGGAGGCTCTGGGTGAGAACTGGAACCACCTCACTGCTGGATCACGGGCTTATGTGCAGAGAGGACAGAGCCCGGGATTGTGCTCTCAGCTTGGCGGCCATGGGGATGCAGAGAGAGGTGGGCACAAGTGGCTATGGCTCACGCAGCGTCTCACTTCAGGGCCAATGGTTCCTGGCACAGGATGTTGTGGCCGGAAAACCTGACTGCTCAGGAATGCTGTGCTCGCGTGTCCTTTGGTTCTGCTCACCTCACAGGCAGGCCAGAACTCAGTGTACTCGCCTTGCAGGCTGTGAGCACCCCCAGGCTGCGGACACACCCTCCCTCACAGCCTTGCACACTGGATCCCTTGTAACCCTCACGAGGCACTGGAATCCCATGACACACTTCTCGGGGCCATAGTGTTCAGTGTCCGTAACCACTCAGGGTTGCTCCAACTTCTTGTACCTGTGCCTGACACAGACTTACCTCACAATCAGACCTGGGGGCCAGCACACCCTGTGGGACACTCATCTATTTCACAGCCTCCAGAGATGCCTGGGTCTCTACACCTCCTCCAGTCTCTTACACTCAAAGGGCTCTGTCTGACATCTTGTGTTCTGTGACTTCAAGTTCCCCAGGTAAGGCTCCTCCTCTCTTCCTCAGGGCGTGCTGGACAGCTTGGAGCTAGAGCCCACCTACAACCCCTTGCAGGTTTGGAGTCACCTGTACTCACACCTGAGCAGCACCTTTGCCAAGCCCCAGGGCCGACTCCACCCCAGCTGGGATAGTCGGGCCCTGAGAAAGGTAAGGATCCCCTCCTTACTCCCCTCCTCCCCCTTTCTGCCCACAATCCAAGAGACCCCTCTCCTGTCACTAATACTCCCCCCATCACCACCATCCCAAGGAGTAGGCCTCGTCTTTGGATCTCCCCTGTTGGAGAGAACCAGGCCAACAGGGAAGAAAAAGCACAGCCCTTTGCCCCAAGGGAAATTACAACCCCTCCCCAGTGGGGGAGCTCTTCTGCTGGGGCATTGATATATGATAATGTTCAGGTATCTTAATTTAGTATTTAGTCATTTAACAGACCATTGTCCCACTAAGCAAACCAGCTGCACTGGAACTACAGCCATTAAAAGGAAAGGCTGAAGGGAAGGTGGGAAAATAAATGCCCCAGGAAAGGAAAATTATCATTTACTGAGCACCATTATTTGCCTGGTTGTGTGACAAGTGCTTTCACATATAATTTTCACATTTACTCCTCACAGCATCCCTGCAAGGTAAGTGTTATGCTCATTTTACAGATAAGCAAAGGGAGGCTGACCAAGGTTAATAGCTTATAGAGAGGGTGCTGGTGACAAGGCTTAAAGAGAGAAGAGTAATTGAATATAAAGTTATTTTTATGAAATCCATATTTTTTAATATTTGAGCTTCCTTTTGCCCTTATCGACTTTTTCCAGTTTCGCAGAAACAGAGCCTTTAGAAAAACCACTTTCCCTTAGTCGAAGTGACAAGAGGTGTTTCAGACTAGGAGGAACAGAACCCACCATAAGTTAGCTGGTGGGCAAGCTAACAGAGGAAGGACACAGCCAGGGCATGGGCACTGTGAAAACTGGAGTCCGGGGGACTCCACTGCCCTGAGCCTTAATGCTGTCACTCCAGGGATGGGACAGGGAAGGCGTTAGGACAGCAGACCCAGAAGGAAATGGGATAGGAGATCAGGAACTCTGGTCTTCAGGGATGGCTCTGCTCACTCTTTTCAGCCTGGGCAGTTGCAGACGAGTCGAGTTCGAGCCACAGTGGCCCCTCTACCTATGACTACAGCCCCTAGCAGAGCCCCCAAGATGCCAGCAGCCAGCAAAGCCTCTGCAGAAGCCTTCTTCCAGCTTTCAGAGGAAGAGGAGGAGGAGGAGGAGGACCCCTCAGGGCCTTAAGCAACCAGCACCAGAGCCTGGCTGCGTGGCTCAACCACATCCCTGCTAAGGCTCACGTGATGGTGTTCCGAGGTCAGACTTGCCTCCCACCTGCCTGAGCCTCTGTGAGTTCTAGATGGCTGAGAAACAGCCTTCTCTGTCCTCAGTGCTGCTACCGCCCCTCTCCTCAGCCTGGGAAGAGACACCCCCAGGCCTCTTGCTTCTCCAAGCAGGGGATTCATTTTCTTGTTTTCTTGTTTTCTTTTGGGTCATTTGATACTGTTAACACAGGTGAAGATTAAGCGCCCAGTAAACCAACGCCATTGTTAGCAGCATTTCAGCCCCAAATTTCTCCTTGTAGCTTTGTGTAAGCGGGTGGATGTCAGGTCACCTTGTCTCAGGAGACAAGGATGAGGTTTCCAGAGCTCATGAAAAACAAGTAGGATTGAAATCCAAGCCTGATTTCAAAGCCCGTACCCCTCCCACTACACCTATTACACTGTAGTTCCAGTTAGGCTCCAAACAGAAAAGGGATTGGTACTCAGTACCTACATGCCAAGTGTGTGTGGGCGGGATGGGTGGGGGAGAGGGTGTAATATGGCTGAGAACATGGGAGCAGATGGTATGAAAAAGGCCTATTCCCTTCCTATTCTCTTCTAACACCTGCCTACCTTCCGTGGGCCCTCTCCATCCACAGAATAACAACTATAAAATGCTTGCTCTGTGCTTCAAATTGCCCTAAGTACTTGAGAAATTTAACTCCTTCCATATAAACAACCCCATGAGGTGGAGCCTGTTATGAAGTTTTCCCAGTTTACAAAGGGGCAGCAGGGGTAACTAAGGGTTGCAGATATTATAAAAACTCACCCAGGGTCGTAGAGATGGGGTCAAGCCCAGATGGGCTGGATGGACCACCTAGGTTCTGAACTGCCACTCTGCTCAGCTCCCCTCCCTGGGGGCCTTTCCTCCTTTCAAGGTCCCCAACGAATTCCTGGTTCTCCTTTGATCCCCTCCACACCCATCCAGCACACCCTGCTTCTGTGTCCCCTCTGTGACTGTTCACACACATAGACCTCTTAAATCCAAACTGGCTTTAATGAGAATAAAACTCTTTTTAAAAATAAATCTCTGGCACAAAACAATACAGGGGAAAGGATCCAGGCACAGTCCAGCATCTCCCTACAGCCTCCATGCAGGTCCCCCCAACTGTACCCACTCTAATCAAGCACCCTTTCTTTCCATAGACCTGGTGTAGCAGCTGTCTGTTCCTTTTGGGGGGATGACTTAGGGATGCTGGCCTCCCCAGGTACCATCCCTGAGCCCCTACCATCTGTCCCACTTCCAGGACTTCTGGGGACTAATCATTCTTCCCTTGACTCCCCTGATCTGTCTGGTGCCCTAGTCTCACACAGGCCCCTCCAGCCACCTGGTTCCCGCTGGTTCTAACAGGTTTCTTTGATCCCCCAGTGCCACCTCTCCATGTCCTATCAGCCACCCCAGCCCTTTCCTACTTCTCATGTAGAGCCCTCTGACTTGACCCCAGTCCTGTTGGCCTCTGCTCTAGAGAGCCCACAGTCCCAGTTCCCTGAGGCCCCGCTCTTCTGGACCTGGCTGTACAGAGCAGTGTCTGAGCTGCAGCCTTTGCTGCCAGTGCCAGTTGCACCAGGTTCAGGGAAGGTCAGACCCTGGGGCTTGGGAGCTGGGATGGGTTTTGTGCTCCGAGGGGGAGGCACGGCGTAGTCATCCGTGGCAGGGTTGTAGGGGAGCTCGTAGCCCTCCTCCTTTACTCGAGCCTGGCACCACCATGCATCCTTGGGCTCCTGAGGCAGATCATAAAGGCCCCGGAGAGCAGCTGGGGCTAGACCCTCAGGTTCATCATAGATGGGGTCCTCTTTAGTGTCTTTCAGCTTGGCCTTCATCAATTGCTGCTGCACATGCTCATACAAGTCCCAGTAGAGCGTTTTCTTTAACTGTACCCGCTCCCCTGCCTGAGCAGGGGTGCTGTCCAAAGGGTCTGAGTATAAGGAATCCCGGGAAGGACCTGGAGGAACGCGCAGGGAGTCTAAGGGTTCAGAGTACAGGGCTGGAGGGCTGTCTGGGATCTCCTGGGCGCCAGCGTGGGTAGCCAGCTTCTCTTCTGCTGCTTCTTCATGGGAATCAGCTCTAAGAACATCCTGCTTCTGACCAGCCTTGCCCTGGGCCTTCTGCCGTTGGATAGCAGCCTCAACTGCCTGGAAGATGTCATTTCCCTGTGCTGTCTGGAAGGTGAAGGTTCCGGGGCCGGAGGGGCAGCGCCGACCAGCCTCAAAGGAGAACATGACCTGAAAAGAATATGAAGGGAAGCACATTACCAGAAGCCATCAGGGAGGTGAGTCACAGGGGGGCTACAAAGAAAAGACTAGCTGGGGAGGGAGGTGGGTTTGTGAGCTAGGCAAAAAGGGTTATCCAGAAGGCAGCACTTCCCACACAGCCCACAGCCCCAGACCCAGAAAGCCAGCCCTCCCGACAGCACCCCTACCTTGTCTCGGCCATAGCGACGCAACAGAGTGTAAGGCCAGGAAAGGAGTGGCTCCAATATCTGGCCCTGAGTTCCCACAGTCATAAGAGTCAGCTTCTCAGCCTCCACCCTCAGCACATAGGAGCCGTGCAGGCCACAGCGCTCAGCGGCTTCAGTCCTCTGCGCAGTTACCCAGAACTGGGATCCTAGAAGGAATACACCATCAGACAGGCACCTGACAGACAGTGGGGAGCAGGTTGTTCCAGCACTCACTTGTAAGCCAGCTCTCAGGAACTTCCTACTTCCCCATGGGTCCCCTAATCAGCCCCTTCCTAGGGTCCCTCTTCCTTTCCACCTCATCCCTGCCCAGCTTTTCAGGCGGCTACCTTCCCAGGTGGGGCTATACAGCGAGTTCTCCAGCATCTCCAGGGCAGAAAGCTTGGGTGGGTTCTCGGCAGGCTCCGGAGCCCAGCGGCCTTTCTGGGGTAAAGAGAAAGAGTGTAGAAAACCCTGTCATTCCCTCAACGCGGTTCACAGGGTCTGAGCCAGCCCAGTTCCTCTGCCGCTGTAACTGCCCCCACCCCGCATCGCCTTCAGGGCCCAGTTGGGCTCGCCCCAGCCCCTCGAGGTCAGAACAGGCCCCCTCACCGGAAAGGCATTGATGCACAGCGTTTGCACCCAGGCGGCGCTGGACTGCGCGTCGGCCGCCAGCAGGTGGGAGCGCTGTGCGGTGTCCAGGCGGAAGGCAGTGGCCCCAGGTTCAGGGGGGCTCTCCACGGCCACGGGCACCACGCTCACACACTCGGCGAGACGGATCACCTTGCAGTCCAGGCGTCGCGTGCTCCCTCGGCCCCCTCCAGAGCTCGACCCTTTGTGGTCAAAGAACTCGAGGCGCGCTACGCCGTGGGGGCTGGCGGGGTAGAGCACGGCCCAGGTCTTCCTCCACCTCTGCGGAAAGAGCGACAGTCGCTGGCGAGGCGGCGAGCGAGCGCCGGCGGCCTGGCCCCGACGGGGAAGGAGGGACCGGCGCAGGCCGCTTTCGAGTCGGAGGCTTCCCGACGGGGGCGAAGTTTCCCAAGGAGGATGCCGCTGGTTCTCCCCAGAGCCAGAGAGCGTGTACCCCAAGGCCGGCGGACGCGTCTCCGCAGAGTGGGAAGAGACTTCGCGGAAACTTCACAGGGCCCTCGGCTCCCGGAGCCGCGCTCCCACCCGCTGCCCGCCCCTCCCTCTTCCTGGGCACTGTCGCCCACCCATAGCCCCGATCGAGTTCGGCACCCCAGCCCCGGGCTACCTTGGTACCAAAACGCTGACTCTGCAAAAAGAGCGGCCCTTCCATCGCGGCCCCGTCCATGGCCCCCGGCGGTTCCTTCTTAGCTTCCTGGCCTCGCAGGCTGGGGGC